ACAGAGACAGAGATACTACTGCAGAGGCACAGAGCCACAGGGCACAATGCCATTTGTCCCCAGTGCTTGCATGCTATGTATAACAGTGGACACATAAATTGTCTAGATGTATACACTCATGCATCAACCCTTGAAATGATTGTCTGATGCGATTTATAGTGATGCAGTGACTAACCTCTGTGTCTAATCACTGTTGCTGCCCTCTAGTGACACATGGCCTCCACTAGTAGTGAATATTTTTCTGGTGCCCACATTTTTCATCCTTGTCATTGTCATTTGAGTCTATAAATTGACAGATTAGGTTGACAGTAACATTACTTTCCATCAGTTCATAGTGTTCTCCGCTTAAACTGCTCGTTCAATAAAACAGGTAGTGGGGCAATTTAAAATAACTGGTTTGTCTTATCTCCCCAGTTAAAAAGAGTCAGTTTATAACTGAGCGGCCAAACTGCATGGCCCTTAGACTTGCTTTGTGGGAGTTGAAGGTGTAATGAATTTGCACCAGGTGGTCCCAACCAGATCACGCAACACCTTTGGGAAAAAAATGGACTTGGACTGTTGTTCTATTATTTTTAACTGGAATTGCACTTACTGCTGGTGCCTTTGTTTGTGTTCCCTTCTTGTCTCCTCTGAAAGAGAGTGGTATTTTGTCCAAAATTGATTTTCATACTTTCCAATTACATGGGGGATGTAAGGCTGTTTCAGTGGAAACTAGAGACTTAGAAATTGACAGGAAATGGATGTAGCATGGTGGATAATATGTGTGAAGATACATGTTCCAGTAAACCTTTAGGTAAATATGGAGACTTAAATCTACAAAAAAGTGAGTATTGCAGGTACAAAATGGGAGCATTATTAGAATGTGAAGGCTGGATGGGGAACAGGGAGCCATTGTATTATCAATGTGCTTGTCGCAGGAAAGACCTTATGAATAAATGAATAAAAAAGCCTGGAACCAGAATCCCCTTTGCGACTAGAAACCTCCTCCTCGTTGACCTTCACTTCCCACAGCAGAGCTGTGTTTGTGGACACAGTGTGAATCATGTTGTGCAGTTTAATAGGCTCACCTTTCCTGCATGCGTGCAGTACATACTGCAATTACACAGTAGTGCTACTGTATTCAGTCTCTCTTTTACTTTGTATAGTGTTTTTTTCTAAGTTTGTCCCGTTCATGCAGAACAACCTCATTAATCCACTAAAAACCTATTGCCAGAGTCCACAGACTGTATCTCCCCTTACACAAGCCAATTTGATTGCACCCAGTGTTTCCAAAAATATATTTCAGGCATGGTGGCAAAAGGATGATAGAGGTTTGCCCACACACACTAAAAGTTTTGGTTATTTATTTTTCACGCAATACAAGACTTTTCGTTGGTAATTTCCATGTAAAGGTCACATACAACAAGGAGAGTATTAATAAGATTTATTTATTGCACACACAAATAACTGTCAAAGTTATGTTACTTCACAGTCAAAGAAGTTGGAATAAACAATCTTTAAGAAAAATAAAAAAATAAAATCCAAATAATGAAATATATCAAATAATAACAGTTTAATAAACTCTCAAGTTGGTGCAAACTGCAGTTTGAAACAAACTGCTCATTTTTTCATCATGACATCATGAGCGCAGGATGCATTACTCATTGCTGCACTTGTTTCTTGGCGTTGAAAAATTTCCCCACTGTATGAAAATTCTCCCACAGCCTTGGGTCCTTGCCAGATGTTCTCTTTGCTTCTATCTGCTGGTTCACCTGCAGCCTGCGTTTGTCTCATAGCCTGTATACCTGCGTTACCGATGCTTGTGCTGACAACGTAACCCTCGATAATGCCCCCTTCTGCCGTCTCACCTCACTCCCTTCTATCATTTCTCTACCTCTCCTCTCTTCTTAATCTTCATTTGTCTCCGGAGTTTTGGAGAAAAACTGAGCATCCCCTGGTTTCCTCTTCTTAGCAGTAGCACTTACAGCAGTCAAGTCAAGTCAAGAATCTTTATTGTCATTATACATAGCACAACGAAATTTTTTCCGGCAGCTCTTGACTTAAAAGACAGACATATTATTTACATAACACACAATTGTATAAGTCTATAAATCTATCCCAATCCCAAAGAATATTGTCCCTCCTGAATAAAGGTATCTATCTATCTACTACTCATACACCAGAAAACTGACCCAACCCTAACTACCTGAGCAACACAATAAATATGAGATAAATTTAAGTAAGCTTCTTGACATAAGAAAACATGCTAGGCAAAGTGCCAGTGGCTATTGCTCCTACAAAGAGTAAAACCACATTCCCTGTCCCTAGGGGGGAGGGTGTGTGTGTGTGTGACTAGGGGTTAGGGGGGTGATTGATTTCACAACTCTGGGGAAGAAGCTGTGTCTGTTTGTTTAGTCTTTATATTCCTGTACTTTTCCTGGAGGGAAGAGGCACAAACAGACTGTTGCCTGGGTGGGTGGGGTCTGCAGCAATCTATCCAGCCCTCCTCTGGATCCGGTCAGTGTATAGTGAAAAGAGGACTCCCTACAATGCCCTGAGCTGTTCTCACCACCCAGGTCAAGTCCTTTCTGGCCTGTGCACTGCAGCTCCCGTACCACACTGTCACACTGAGACAGAGGATGCTCTGTAGAAGTCTGTGAGCAGCTGAGAGGAGAGACCAGCACATTTCAGCTTCCTGAGGAAGAAAGGCAGCAGCAGCCATATAATTTAGGTTTTACTAATGTTAGTTGACTTATAAGAAATAATTTCACATTTACACAAACTTCATCACAACCCAGATTTGCTCTGTGATGATTACTGATCAGTTATGTTAAACTATTGACGCTGCTAACACATCATAATATTGGTGTAACATATTGAATGTGCAGACAAAAGGCAAACACAGTGACATTGCGGTTCCATGAGAAAATATGAAATATCACAAACTTGAAGAATCAGTAAAGGTAACGTCTTAATTCCATAAACCTCTGTGTACATATGGAATCCATTAAAAACAGTATTCTCAGGTCACTGGTCTATAATTAGCTAGGACACCTGGGTCAAGAGTAGGCTTTTTGAGTAGAGGTTTAATTACTGCAAGTTTAAAAGCCTGTGGAACATAACCTGTTAATAGAGAGAGGTTAATCAGATCTAGTATGGATGTGTTGATTAGGGGAAAGATGTCTTTGAGCAGCCTGGTCGGGATGGGGCCCAGGAGACATGTTGATGATTTAGATGAAGCAATTGTTGAGGTCAACTCAGAGAGATCTATGGGAGAGAGGTAGTCCAAGTATAAATGAGGTCTTACAGATGTTTCTAAAGCCATTGTAGTAGATGGCACATCCGCGAGAGCTGTGGGAGAGGTCCGACCAATTTTTCTCTCTAATAGTTGTGATTTTATTTGCTGTGGTATAACAACACATTTCATCCTCAGGCTACATTCTGAGCATTCAATTTGTTGAGCATGTCTGTGTGAAATCCATTTGAGCCCACAAGTGTGTATTTTCAAGTACCTTTTGTTTTTTTCTGTGTGCATTTGTGCATAAAACTAAATACATGTATAGTGTTACCTGTGTGGATAATGGTTGTTATAAGACGACAGAGCATGCAAGCCAGATTGTGTGTGTTCCTCTCATGAAGTGAAAACTGAATTTGTATTAAAGAGAATGGATCCTTCTTTGACCAGGCTTGGTTTTAAGTTCACCTCTTGACACTGCTGATCATTGTTGACTGTTGAAGAGATGTAAAAACCAACATGTTCTGATTCATTTATTTTACAACTTTGATTTTTATACCCCTTCCATGTTATTGAAGTCATGACCAGACATTCTAGATGTTATCAGTGTTAGAACTAAAGATGTGGCTGCAGTACTGTAAGTGAATCAGTCTGCTGGATTCAGCCTCTAAATTATTCCTCAGCCGGTCCTGGTGAGGCAGCCCAGTCCCAGCCAGTTCCCACTGCTTAGAACACAGGGGAAGCTTCTGCGGCCACATTTTAATATATGGTTTGTCTGAGTATCCAAAGACCACTCTGGTACCCTCATGTATTAATAAACTGTTCTGACCAGTGCACATGAACTTATTCAAGAAATGTTGTAGGTTTCATATATGTGGTGACTTTACAAACCGCTGCACATAGATTTTTGTGATGTTCCTAATAGTGGTTTTAGTAGTACAGAAAAAATGATTGCCCTTTTTACAAGTAGTTTTTAGCTTGGACACGAACATAACTTTAACGGTGTTCATGAAACTCTCTGAATTACTGTCATGGCATGTGGTCTAATAGTCCTAGTTCTGTCTGTCCTGAGCAAAATAGCATGAGCTGCATGATGTCTCCTTAGAGAAACCCTAGCTGTTGAATCAACCATTGTAAGCTGAGGACTTGTCACGGTTTTTGTCAGTGCTCAACACCATGAGGGCGGATTGGTTTGAATGTGACCATTGATCCTTTAACCACAGCTGAAGTGTAATTTTGATGATGATGTTGGGTTTTTTTTTTAACCATTGAAAACAAATTTCCCTAGACTATATTCTGTTGTTAAAAGGTTGTCTTATGTCTTTATGTCTGACAGTGTTATGAGGACATTTTAGCGAACCCTGGGCTCTTTCTGTGGAAGGGTGATACAACAAAATTAAGCTCAAACACCAAGCATCTCTCATCTCAGGCATGACAGCAGATAAAGAAACTAAAATCACAAAGAGAAATATGCAGTTCGGCCCTCAGCCATGCTGTGACTGAGGGTGTGTTTGTTCTCCATAGAGGCCGCTGAAGTGGCATCATACTGAACACTCAGAGCAGTGCCATTAGTCGTCTAAAAGTTCAAAAAGTTGTTGCCTGTGGGAGAAGAGGTCTGCTTCATAAATGGCATCATTAGAGACGTACTGCACTGATAGCACTGTAAATGAACCAGTTTAACAATATGTTCATGTGCTATAGATGATATGAGAATAGAAAATAGTTTTGGGAATGTTTCTGAGCACAAAATCAATATTAATAAATCTAACTGGTTCCTTGTTCACAGGAACTGGAGAGAGTGACAGCCTTACAGACCAATCTACAGCTGGCAGCAGTCATTTGCACTAATGCAAGGAGGTAATGGCATTCTGTTACATACTATATATTCACTAAATGAAATCAAATCACATCTGGGTACTACTGTAAGTGTTTTTCACATACAGTAACCATGATAATGTTTTCTTCCCATAATATCTTCTCTGTCTATTAATGTGGTCACAAATAAGCAATTATTCTTTCTTGTGTGCCCTTAAAATAAAGTAGGTTTTAAAAACATGATGCTATCTCTTCTACTATACTGTATGCTACTTGTTCTTTAGGCTTGTTATGATGTTATTGTGGGTGATAAGAGATTTTGCATTATTGTTCCTAAATGTTTGGTTGGTATTAGTATATAATATTTTGCAATTGTGTTATTGATCCAGAGTGCTCAGGTACACACACACATACACAAAAAGGGAGATTATTATATAAAAAAGACATGTTGCACCATTTTCTACCTTTAATGTGAATTTTCAACCTGTAAAATTGAAATGAAAAATAAACTGTAAAACATTAATAACCTTGTTGCATACGTGTGCACATTGCAGAACTAAAAGTACCTTTTTACATCACAAAAATCTGCCAGTTTAACTGAGCTGTTGAGACCTTTTGTATTCACTGTAGCATATATAGTAGTTACATCAAACATATCCCTTAACACTGAGTTCTATCCCTTTGTCATGGTGTACAACTCACTACAGTGTTTTGGGCTTTTAAATGCCAGCTAAACATACTAACAATGACATTTTATTGATGCTAACCTATCCCTGCACTGTGACTTCTTATGTGAAGGCAACTGAGTGTTGCGAAGGAGGGATTCACAGAGGCCAGTCTGGGTCTGTTGGCCAATCAGAGAAGACGACACCTGCTCACAGGCCTGCTGAAGTCTCTGAGGACCATCAAGACACTGGTAAAGATTACACACAGTTCACATAGACTTAACATACTGCTTATGTTGTTCCAAACTGCATGTAGGGTAACTATAGTGTGAGGGGAGACCAGCAATTTGCCACACCAGCATTTACTCTGGTGCCCTATTTAATTGTATGAAAACCAAATCCATTTGTCAGGGCTGAAACTCAGACAGCAGTCTAAAATCTATCCTTTGAATTAATTGGGTTAAACTAGGCTAGCTATGGTAATTAACATACCAGTTTTTACTAACATTTCATAGTTTATTTTATTATGATTAATGTATATGTCTGACCTGCAACATGTACACTGGGTCGAGTGTTTTTAATGTCCTTGTCAGGTTTTTTGTTTGGGTGGTTGGAGGTGTCTGAAATACATGCGGAATTCTAACATTACAAATACACCATGTGGCATGTCAGTGCTGTGAGATGAATCAATGTACTCTGCAATAATCACTTCAACTGTTTCTCCACATGATTTAAAATTAAGATTAAAGTTAATCAAACATACTCTTTTTATCAGTTTCTTATTTGCTTTGATAATTTGTTCTAACTGTGATCATTAAAACATTTTACCGTCATGGTCAAAGCAGGAAAGCCTGGAATTGGTGTTGGAACACTTAGTATCACTTATTATCACTTAGTACTATAGTCTGTTTGTGCTTTTATGCTTGATTCATTCCTTCCTCTTCTCATTCTTCTCCTCACAGCAAAGAACAGATGTAAGACTCAGCGAGATGCTTGAGGTATTGTAATCCTCTCCACCCATGCACACACAAACACAGATATGCTTATAATTGACTTGAAAGGTCAAACATCAGTAGGGATTACGCATTGAACGACAAACCCAAACAAACACTAGAAGCTCTGACAAATGCCCATCTATCGTGAAGGTCAGCTGTAGCACCTGGAATGGATTTGACTACCACTGAGTGTAATCCTTGGTTATCTGGGGAGAATCTGCTGTAACAACTACTTTTGATAAGATTATTGAATGAAACCAGATCAGAAAAAAACATGTACTGCTACTACTGTAGTTTCTGTACTGAGGTTTCTTTTGATATGGTACAGTATGTCTAAAATAGATGGTATTCTACTGTAAACTTTAGAGAAAGTTCTTTGTTTTTATTGAAAGATAACTGAAATCACCTAACTTCTCTGTTCCTTTAAGGAGGAAGACTATCCAGGCGCAATCCAGCTCTGTCTGGAATGTCAGAAGGCTGCCAGCACCTTCAAACACTACAGCTGCATCAGGTAGAGTGTGAGGAGATATTCAGTGATATTTGGTTTTGTCCAAATGGAAAAAAAAAGTCATGGATTTTATTTGCTATGGCTTATTGGAAGATTTTCTGATTTTCATCGATTAAAATATGACATAAATATGATCACTGTTAGTAGTGTTAATCTGAAATGACCTAACAGTTTGAGGCTGTCATGTTTAGATATCAACCATCAACTGTTCTTTTTCCTTGTTAATTCAAACCTTGTTCTTGACAAAAAGTGCCAACAAACATCTGCATCAGGAAAATTTGTATTAAATCAATTCAGACATTGTCAACACCTCCTGAGGTAGCTTTATAATACAGGCTGACCACTGCCTTCACATTCACTACATTTATTGTTAAACACATGCAGGAAGTGTTGGGTTTGTGTCAACAGTCACGCCAACACCACGCGGTGCAGACGTCAGTGAGCTTTTTGCTCTGATAATGCCATTTGTGTGACTGCTGTGAAACTTGTGGTCAATATTATGCACAGGGGATTGTTGTGGTGAGGTAAAATTCTCCCATTGTTCCCTTCCACTGGCAGCTGCTGTTTATTTGTGTGGATGTCAGTTTTGTTTTCACAGTGTCATTAATTTACCATTGATGCTGTTGCCTGCCCATGGTGATGCTCAGATGAGCGTGGTGGGATGAGGAGTAGACCTATACCTCATCTGCTTCTAGTGATAACACCCACCACAGTCAGCCTGTCGATGTAGGAATGGGACTGTGATCATCACAAAATAAGAGCTCTCACTTTTATAACTATCAGTGTCACTTTATTTACATGTGGTCCAGATGCCGGATATAAATCTGTTAGCCCTTCTCACTTGTTGTTAATACCACTTCCTGAATGTACTGTACTGTAGGTGTTTTTAACATTAGTGCATCAATCACTTATCTGTCAGGCTTTGTAGTAGCATCCACATCGCACTAATGATGCTTGCTGGACCCAGACTGCAGCACCATCCTCTCTAAGCAGTTAGTTGTCAGTCTGCTGCGCTTTGATTGAATCTACAGTACACCTTTGCATGCCCTGCTGAATGGCCCAGCAGGGAGGCTTTGTTTCATGCCTGCCCCTTCTTTGTCCCTGTCCCCAACCTTTTAAAAGTCAATATTGCTTTCTCCAGGAAGGCACTTAGTCAGCCTCATGTTCTATCTATATCCATGTTCATCATGTGGCGCACTGGGGCAGCTTTAGACCCCCACATGTCAGCACAGTGTTCATAAACTCTGAACTCTGTTCTGGCCTTTGAATAGCAAAGGTTTAATTGAGCCTAGAGTGAGTCCCACAAAAGGAAGAGGGAAAAAAGAACTATGTCAGTACGTTTCCACCGTTCACCTCCACAACACAGTCATAGATGATTATACAGTATAAATGAGAAGATGAACAATAGTTATATGATAACACGTGAGACCTTGTTTTTTGTGATTATGGATATGATGATGCTGAGAGATGTAGCTTGTCACTTGTAAAGTACAGATTTAAATATCCGCCCTCATCACAATACGATCTTACTCTGATTCTCTTTACCAGCGATCCAGTTTGCTGATACTTAAAAATATGCCACAATGTGAATATGATTAATTTCAATTCAGGGGCCTGCAGTCAATATCAGGTGATATCATCTGCCTATTTCATACAATTTATATTTTTGTTATCTAAAATGTAACAGACATGTAATTTAAATAATTTATTGAGCTCCACTGTTCACTTTCAAGTGTTCTTTTAAATACAACTGATGACCTTCTAATTCAACAAATCTTTTTGAGATAGGAAGCATTTACCTTGGCACGCACAAAAAAAACATCCCTACATTGCAGTGGGAGTTTTATTTAAAACTTATTGTTGTGTGTCTTTTTTTAAATGCAGAATACCTCCATACCCTCGACTTGTTTCTCATGGTAGAGTTTACTTTATCTGTGTATTTTTCTTGGCTGCTACAGGTCAAGGGCAATTCTCATAGAAAGTGTTTTGTTGCCCCTGTCAGAAAAAACTTTAATCTATCACAAATGTCAGGCCACAGTCATATACAGTGCCTTGCGAAAGTATTCGGCCCCCTTGAACTTTGCGACCTTTTGCCACATTTCAGGCTTCAAACATAAAGATATAAAACTGTAATTTTTTGTGAAGAATCAACAACAAGTGGGACACAATCATGAAGTGGAATGAAATTTATTGGATATTTCAAACTTTTTTAACAAATAAAAAACTGAAAAATTGGGCGTGCAAAATTATTCAGCCCCCTTAAGTTAATACTTTGTAGCGCCACCTTTTGCTGCGATTACAGCTGTAAGTCACTTGGGGTATGTCTCTATCAGTTTTGCACATCGAGAGACTGAAATTTTTGCCCATGCCTCCTTGCAAAACAGCTCGAGCTCAGTGAGGTTGGATGGAGAGCGTTTGTGAACAGCAGTTTTCAGTTCTTTCCACAAATTCTCGATTGG